ACATCCCACCCTGCTGTGCAGAGCAAAATCACTACTGTGAAGTTTGTGAATTAAGAGTGTCAACTTTGGTAATTTCATATATTAGAAGTTTGTAAGGATTTAGAAAACAAATATTTCAGTAGCTACATTCTATTAATAGATTTAGCAATATACAAAATCGTCGCTCTGGTTGCACATCCACATGGCTCCAGGCTGCGTCTGCTTTCCGACCGGGGCGAACAGTCAGATCCCTCTGCTCTATGACGACAGGAGGTTCCCCGAGCTAGCTGGAATCGCGCCGGTCCGTAGCGACATGCTGCGTAGGCTAGGCTTCAGAGGTCTTGAGGAGAGGGGAGAGTTTTGGAGAATGAGAGTCCGCAAAGAAGTCGAAAATTACTGCTGCGTGCAAAACAGAATGATTGGCTTGCCCAACCATTCTGTTCGCCCAATTCATGGAGTAATTGCATCCAATTAAAAGAATTGGTGAAGGGATAGGTGCTAAAAATCCAATTATAACACCCACCCATGCTATTTAATAAATACCCCTGATATTTCAAGGTTTTGGGGTTTTCCAGAACCCTGCGACAGCGCGACCTAGATGGTCAGCCACGCAGGATAATACTTCGCAGTAAAGCTAAGCGGCATTCGCCAAAGAGACTCAATGACTATCATGTTTACGTTTTTGGATAGATAGGAACTTGGTATGTGAGTCGAACCCGGAGAAATGAGAAGTGAGTAGAATTGAGAGTTAGGCAAAAGCTGTTGAGGGCCGCTTCCTGTGTGCAGCCCTCGAGCTTCCTGTTTAATGCCTGACCTCCTTGAAGTTGAACTACGAGTTGCACTAGACTGATGACGCAGATACCGTAGTACGTCAAGATGACGCGTATCCAGTTGCACTGCATGTGCCGCACTGTGCTTACAGAGTAGCACGCTCCGACACTCCCACTCAGCCCATGCCAAGCCGCGTGATGAGCGTGTTGACCTTGGCTTGAGTCAGGGGCTTTGTAAACAAGTCTGCCACCACGACCGCCGTTGCACAATAGCGTATCTGGATGACCCCGCGTGTACTTGCTCACGCATCCAGTGGTAACGCAGATCAATGTGACGCGAGCGCTGCGAGACATCTTTTCCTTCTGCAACATGTTGAGCCGCTTGATTTTCCTCGTGGACGATTATCTTGCCAACATCGAACCCCAGCTCGAGCAGCAACTGTTTGAGCCCAATACACTCCTTGATACCGTACGCCAGAGCAGTATATGATGATAAAGCGACATTTGCACCCAAACCTAACCACTCTTTATACACACTCATTGACCCCCATCCCTACACTATTAGAAACAGAAAAAAAATAAAAAATCTAATTTTGACAAGCCCCATCCTATGGTATCGATGGGTAGAAAACACTAAAGCACACAAACCACCCAGAGCCCTCAATCGAACCTATCAGACACTCTGAGAGTATCATTAGTTTTACTCAAAAGCATCAAGGGTACCCCCCTGTCAGAAAATTCTAATTTTGCAATAAATGCAAAGTCTCACTCGTGAATTAATTAAATTGTTATCCTGAATTATCTTTCTATATAGTTTATAGGGATACACCATACAATACAAATAAATATGTCTGTTATTTTAGAGTTTGGAAAATACAAAGGAAAGGCTCTTGAGGAAGTTTATGATCAAGATGCGTCATACTGTCGATGGTTATACAACCAACAATCCGACGAATCGGATATCAAACAATTTTTACAAGGCAAGTTCCAAGATGGAGACGATAGTTATATCATGCGTTGGGGCAAACATAAAAACAAATCCGTTAAGTGGATTGTTGAAAACGACAAGCAATATTTCAATTGGATGTGTAAAAATGAATATATCAAGAATAAATGTCCATCATTGAAAGAAAACTTGAACGAATTTAAAACACAGAATTAAAAAAAGAATTTGCAGCTGTTTTTTTTTAACTCCATTATCTGAAACTGGAACCTCTATTAGCAGTAACATCTGTCCAGTCCTTGTTGTGGTTCTGCAGGTTATCAGATCATAAAGGTGATCAGAACCAACGAGCTTTGGGGGATGAATACATTGTTCAAGAAGTAGCTCAAGTTTGGAGGCAAATCGCTACCATCTTGACACTATCGATTTAGACAGGCTATCAGAGAGAAGCTTAATTCTTCGTCAAGGTGTCTTATCACATCGTCCTCAGGAAAGGTCGCACCATGTGACCATGACACTATCTACATACCTATCAGCTATCAGCCAGTCATCTGCAATCCTCTCTTCATCCGTGCGATTCAGACAACGATTGATTACGTTGCTTGTAAATATTGTAGCGGATAGAATTAGAGGAGATGAATAGAAGTTTGCATAACGCTACAGACTATATAACCCTCGAATCCCTACCAGCCGTACCAAGTCTGTCTCCTTACCCTTCGGCCAACCAAATGGTACGAGGAGTCCATCTCCCGTCACCGTTGTGAAGTCGAACGCGTTCAGCTTGTCTTGCTCGACGACGAAGATTATCTCCATTGTCTCCACCTCAAAACTTTCGGGCGATTCCGACAGCATCTTCAACCATCCATAGAAGTGTTCGATACGAAAAGAATGCTTGTGGGCCCTCGTCACTTGCACGAAGCGCACGTGCTGAGTACGCTTGCACGCCATTATAGCGTCATATCCGCCTTGGTTCCATTTTTCTGGCTTGATCCAAATGGGGTGAGCAGAAGAAAGCGCAGGTATTCCATCCGCGACCACAATAACTGATTGACCCCACGTGCCAACCGTGTTTCCTGCCGCATCGACAAGAGCGAGACCGCCATTTCGAAGACTTGCGAAGAACACCATCTCCAGCATCCATCCATTCAAAGCTGGGTTTGAGCTGTCTCGATGCGTCGACATGAACTTCTTGATAGCCTCTGGACCGCATCGGACGGCAATCAGCGTCGCAACATACTGACTGATCACAGGCGACACTGCTCCTACGTCGTTAGGTCGCTGGAACATCCCAAACAGACGTTTGATGCTTAAAGATGAACGCTGACCACTTGTTGAAACAGTCGCAGCATCGTTCAAACAATCCACGGCGTCACTCAACTTCGTCTCCACGGTCACAGTGCGAAAGTGGAACATATAACGACAGGATCCACCTGCGTAGTAATACTTGGTCTCTACCATTGCCGCGCGAGACATCTCTTCACTCGGCAACACTCCAGGGGCGTCCAGGCATTCCGATACACTCTCGAAAACCTCGTCATCCTTGATCGCATCGAGGTACTCATTCAGAGTCCACGACCACACGCGGAACTCCCTTGCACGAGTCAGAATCTCCATGTCTTCTTGAAACTTCCCACGGGCGGCAACTGAACAAACAAACGCGAGCCGCCGCTTATTCCCTCCGTTGCTTTGAAGGAACCATCGGACGCACTTGCGTGTCAACTGAATAAACTCGTCTGCAGCAGTCCACCCGTCAACGAGCACTACGTGATGCCTCGTATCGTCAACCATCAACACTTCATTCACGTCCGAGATCTCGAGCATTCGAGTGTTTCGTTCGTCGCCGATGAGGGCGCACGCCATTGCCAATCCATAAACTTGCCCGCATGGATCCACGTCACAATCCATTCACTTCTGTTCACAGTCGACGCGAATGCCATGGCAGTGGTTGACTGTCCCGTTCCTGGAGGACCGAGGATCCAGCCCAAATGACCTTCGTTCAATACTTCATCGCGCAAGAACTCGAATTGGCGGTGGAATGTTGGCCTGCAGTAGAGCATCATGCGAACGGGTGGAAGTCCGGACTCGTCCACATCCTCTTTCTCCAGCAGGAAGTATTGTGAGTTCGGGTCATGAGTGTGCGATCCCCACCGAGTTGATCGCCACTCCAAACGCTGCTTCTTATTGGACGGTGGAACCACCACCAACACGTGGATTTGTTTCGGCTTTGGGGCACGCCGCTTGGTCATGTTGTTGGCTTTCAGCACATCCTCGATTGGCCACGTCGCCTTCATCTTCTCTCCATTGATCAACGTTTGGATGTCATTGTGAACCTTCCCTTCTTCCAGTTGCAGCGCAGCAGGGTCATCGTATGGCAACCACGCGTCGCCCTTCCTGGCGAGGAACAGCTCCAGTTTGTCCGCAGCGAAGTCATACTTCTGCTTCTCCGCGATCTTGTCCTTCAAGTGGTCCACAGACTTACTCGCATCAATGTCGATGGAGAACGCGTTTCCCTTGACACCGACGAGCGCGCAGAACAGCGTCACCATGCTTTCTGTGAGTGAGGGAGATTCTCTCTATCCATATTTCAGCCAATCAAATGGTGCAACCCATTGTTCGGTTTTTGACGTCACCCATCTGGGTGATTGAACAGCTGGAGAAACAAAATATATTTATTTATATAGACACAAACAGCATGGATATTACATATCTATCCGATACCGATAATACTGGATATCTTGAAGATGCTAAGCTTCATGAACCGATAGATACCGATAATACCGATAATATTCATTTTGAAGATATTAGACTAAATTGTTCAAAAATAAATAAGCACACAGGATCAGACATAATAAAAATTTGCGAAGAAATTGACTTGATTTGTGCAAGTATTTATCAGTGTCAGAATATCAACTATAAATACACTAACTAGGAAAAACGCGTATTTTGTCGTATCCATCGTAATATTTGAACACAACTCCATCGACTTTGTCGTTTCGGATGTTCTCAATGATTGCTTTACGCAACATACGATTGTATCCAGTATCAATACACCATTGTTTGTATCTGGCATTTAGTATCGTTAATGGAATTTCTAGATAATCTCCTTTACTAATAAATCCATCTTTGAGTAAAGCTTCTCTATCTTTTGTGAAAATCTCTTCTTTGAAATATTTCGAAATGGATGATTCAACCTTTTTTTGAGCTAATTCAGATCGCAGAAACTCCAATTCTTTCATTATCACATCGATTCTATTAACCTCGTCAACTCCTGTTCCTCTATAACGTCTTATTCTATTCATGATGGTATATTAAGATAATGAAACTTCTGTATTTAAATCGTAAAAATTTCTGAGTAAATCAGGTCGATTGTGTTGTTTACTATAAAGGTACAGCATACTCCATAAACCGCAATAATTATCATAGCTCCCTTGGTACTGTTTTTCATTACATTTCGTAGCGCCAAGAATTCTCGGTGGCCCAATACCCATCGAATCAAAGTATTCATTGTTGCACATACAAACCCAATGTCCAACTCCTGGATTCAATCGGAGTAATATAATGTAGTTTCCATCACCTAGTGGAGCTCTAATGTTTCTGAAATCTAGTATGTTGTCGATTTGAACATTCAGCTGATTCGCAAGTTGTTGTAGTTCATTGGCAGTAGATTCACCGAGATTATTTAATTTCAAAATCATTATCTGATGCTTATATATATAGCTATTCATAATAAAGGCACCAACATACAATTTCAATAATTAGTAAGACTAAGTAATGAGTGATAGCACACAATTAGCAGATTCGTTTTTATATGACTCGACGACTAGTCCTGATCCAGTTATCAGTGTCAGCAAAGACAAGCGTGTTGTAAATGTCGTTGATGACAACAACGGTTCGTATCAATCGGGAACTGTCATCATTAATGCGACTTCACAACTAAATGGCTCAACTGGCTATGGCAGTCTTCGAGATGCATATGTAGTCGTTCCTTATGTAGTAACGGTTAAAAATACGTCTGCCTCTGCTCTTAATGCTACTCTAAATCGTTTTGCGGTAGGATTAAAGGCTGGTGTATGGAACATTTTAGATAAATTAGCGGTTGAAATTAACGGTAAAAGTGTCATTACGAGCAATGACTATAAAAATTATTGGACCAATTTACGTGCTCAAACTGAATGGTGTGATGATGATTTATTAAAGAACGGTGCAGACTGCTATCTTGCTCCAGATGATGTAGTTAGTCTGAATTTCCCACAAAGTAGTAGCAATCCTGCCGCTTCAACACAAGGAGATGGTTTTGTTAATAATTCAGTCAATGCTGCCTCGACTGTAGCTACTGGTTTAATTCCAGAAACAACTCCAGCTCTTAATACCGGACTAATTCAGCGTCTAATTTGGAATCCACAACAAATTGGTACCTCTGATTCCACTGGAGCAACGATCACAGCAACAAACCCTCTTGGTTGGCCGACAACGCGAAGTGGCGCAATTCTTTCTAAAATTCAACAACAAGGTACTGGTGGATACGTAGCTGGCGTTACTACCGCTGGAGGTGGTGGTATTATATGTTAAAGCTTCGTTTAGTTGACCTCCATCCCATCTTCAAAGAATTGGATCTTGTTGCGAACCCTCAAATCAAATTAACGATGACGTTCAATACCGGCTTTGTTGATATCATAACTGCAACTGGTGATTTAATGAGCTTATCCTCTCTCTCCCTAAACGGTTGCTCGACGGTTCCAGTAATGGTATCAAGTGCGGCCCCAGGTAATCCAAATGCAGGAAAACTTACAACTGGTGCAGCTGGGTCCCTACGAGTTGCTTTCGGCGTTATGTCTAACAACATTACACAGATCTCTACTTCTGGTCAAATCTTCCCATTTACAACGACTCGTCTATATATTCCTTTCTATGATATTGCGAATCAAAGTCAAATTGTTGCTAAACCTGTTAAGAAAATCAATTACCTCGATTGCTACGCACAGTATTTCAAATCAAAAGCAGGCACTGGTCAACAAAACTCTCAGCAAAACGCTCCGTTTAGCTTTCAATTATCTTCAAGCTTAAAGAATATCAAATACATTGCTCTGATTCCGTTCAGTGAAACCAGCAGTGGTCATTTCGTAAGCGCAACGAATATTGAACAATTCCAATCCCCATTTGACAGTGCTCCATGGACTTGTCAGCCAGGAGCAAGCATTCGCAATTTCCAAGTAATGGTTGGCAATAAAAATGTATTCAACAAAACGCATGATTACTCGTTTGAATCGTTCCAAGACGAAGTCAAGAAGCTCGGAGCTATTAATGGAGCGCTATCGCATGAAATTAGCAATGGATTATTTGATTCATACAAATGGGATGTTGGTCAGCGTGTTCTAATCGCAGACTGCTCTCGATTAACGAATCCAGATGTGCCTCAATCTATTCTTGTCTCTGGTACCAATACTTGCAGTCAAGGAATGAATTGTCTAATTCTCGTCGTTTACGGTCGTTCTATGTCTATTGATCGTTTAACTGGCGAAGTGATTGGAGTGAACTGCGTACGAACGAAGTTCGAAGGGTCCTTGCCCGCCGAACAAGTTCGCCTGGTCTTCAGACCAGTCAGCCGGCAAAAAAAGTTTTTTTGTTGACATCCGAACGAATCACAACTGGAATGAGCTTCAACCATGATGCTATATTAGAGTTTAGATTCTAATTGTTCTATACGTTTAAGTAACTTCTTTATCATCATAAAGTTAATAGCAGTAATCTTACTATAGTCGATATTCATTTGGGCTCCTTCAATATCATCATCATCTACTTTTTTAATGATTCATTTGGTGTTAACGATAGTAAATTTATATAACCAGCTTTATTCAATTCTTGACTGATAAAACCAATCTTTGGAATTGTCTCATCAGATCCACGGTATTTATATGTGTAAACATCAAGATCATAAAATTTATCACAATAAGTAGTATCTAATAATTCAATGTTCTCTTTGCAACGACGATCAGATGTACAGTAGATTGAACTACATTGAATTGGACCACCAAAGGTAGCTGCAACACTTACTGTTACTGGACCTAATTGAGATGTAGTATACGCAGTTGATGATCCAATAGCATACAACTGACTACCTGCATTAAAAGTATTACTTACTGTTCCTGATACACTTAATGGTGCTGATGGTGTTCCTGTTCCTATACCACATCTTCCAGCTGCTGTAATAGTCATTTTACGACCATTATTTGTCATAATTACGAAATCATTATTTGAAACAGTTCCCATATAAGCACTATTTGTTGATGTGGCACTTGTAGCGTTAGATAGTTGAAAGGCAAATGAAACTGGAGAGGCATTACTTGATTCAACATATAGGGGCATATCAAAATTAACACTTCCATCATTTAGAGCATTTGAAGACTTAATATAAATATTTCCAGCATTCAAAGTTGTTCCATATGAAGAAGAATAAGGAGTATTTGTATTAAACATCATTTTCTGGATTGTATCATTGACTAAATAAAAGCAACCAGCAGATGGAATCGCAGTTGATCCTCCAACATTGATACTAAATGCATCAGCAGTTGTGGCAATTCCAAATGTATGGGGATATCCAGATTTATAAGGTTGAGTATTACCAACATTAAAACACATTTTATGAATTTGAGATGTAAAACCAACAGAAGGTTTATCATTCCAATTAATATTGAATAAATCAGCTGTAGTAGCTGAAACACCACCAACAAATGAACTTGGATTATCAGTAGATATTAAATTTAGAACTGGATATGTTTTATTACTTGAGGAGCTTGTAGTTCTTGAAGCAATGACTAAACCTGTGAGATCATCAACTCTGTAAACATTCATTGTTTCTCTATTTGACGTTCCACCATAAAATCTAGGACAATATGAATTTGATGCTCCTAATGTCATTAATCCAATTCCAGATGAATCTAATGTCATTGTTTTATAAGTTTTTGAAATGTTCCTAATGTTGTTAAGTCATTATAATTTAATTCAGTTGCAGTTGCAGTCATTGCAGTACCGTTTAAATTCAATGTTGTATAAACTAAATTTAGTATAGAAGAACCTGCTCCATTATCGCCAGTAATCGTATTACATGTAATAGATGGACTTGCAACCGATCCAGATGCAATAAAATTTCGAGTAATAGAAAAATCACGCATTCCACTATAATCCAATGTTGAGTTTACTACTACTGCTTTACTTGCAACTGCTCCGCCAAGAGTAACTCCAGTGTAGTAAGTATCATTGAATGTTGTACCTCTGAAAGTTAAATTAGGTACATTTAATCCAGTACCAGTAGCTCCCAAATCTAATTGTAATCCAGATGCTGTATCAGCAATAGTAATATTACCTGCAGATGAAATAGTCATTCTTGCTGTATTATTAGCAGCTATAACAGTATCATGATTAGATTGTGTTCCAATCCATCCATTAGTTGCAAGACCACATCGAATGGTTCCGTTAGCAGCTTGTATTGCCCATGTATTTACGTTAGCATTAACTATTACAGCATTAGCTAAGCTACTATTTTGTAAAGCATTTACAGCAAGTGATGCCAAGTTTCCAATTGATGTAATATTTGGTTGAGAAGCTGTTTGAAGTGTTCCAGTTAACGTTGTTGCACTTAGCGATGAAATTCCAGATACTGCACCTGATGAACTAATTGTCATTCTTCCTGTATTACTTGTTTGAAAGACTAAATTATTCGCTGTAGTTGTTCCAAAGTAAGCATCTCCATTGTTAAAATGAAACAGAGCACATGTTGAAGTACCATTTATAGATCTAAACGATTGCCCATTAGCAGTTAAAGTAGCGGTTATTAATCCTGCCGTATTCAATGATGTTAAAGTTCCTACTGAGGTAATATTAGGCTGAACAGCTGTTTGAAGCGTTCCAGTTATTGATGTAGCCGTAAGAATCGCTAAAGTTCCAATCGATGTAATATTAGGCTGAGCAGCTGTTTGAAGTGTTCCATATAATGTTGAAGCGGTTATATTAGTAGCTGTCAATGTGTTATTAACAGCTACATTTCCATTCGTTAAAATTGACATTTGCACTGAAGCATTATTCGTGGCAAAAGTTAGCGGATGATTGCTAAATGTTTGAAGACAACATTGAGTCCCATCAAACCACTGCTGATATAGAACTGTTCCATCACTAATTTGATATAGCGCATTTGTCAAAGAGGTTAATCCAATGATATCTAATTGCTTAGCAGGAGCAGTATTATTAATACCTACTAAACCTGTGGATCCTATCGTTATTTTTCTATTTCCATTTGTTCTCAAATGAAACTTATTCGCTGTTGTACTGCCAAATGTCTGATCTCCAGATACAGAATCAACAGATAATGAGCATGTGCTGCTCGATAGGGAGTTATTACAAGCTATAGGGGTAGATCCACTAATATTCAGTGTTGATGATAGTGTTCCCAGAGATGTGATATTTGGTTGTGAAGCTGTCTGTATGGTTCCAGTTAATTGCGATGCTGAGAGACTATTAATGTTGGTGATGTCTCTATTTGAATTAACAGCAATCAACTTACCAGCAGAAGCAATTCCTGGTGTAATACCAGACAGCATACTCAAATCAATCATTGTTCCATTTTGATAGATATTTCCCGAAACATACAGATCCGAAGTGTAATTTACACCGTTTCGCTTGTTATATCGTAAATCTCCAATACTAATAGTTAGATAGTCAAAGGAGCCAATATAGTCTAATGGATTGTACAATGATGATATATAACTTGAAAGAAGCATATTTTTATTCTATTATATATATACCAACAGATTTTTGCTTTTCAAGATGAGTTCAATTCCTGATTTTGGTGGGATGCTCCCAAAGGAGTTTAAGAAGAAATCGTTTGGAGTAAATGAAAAGCTTGGTATCCAGAAGCTCTTCCGAATGATAGTTTTAGGCCCAAGCTTCTCTGGTAAATCAAATCTAGCTTTTCATATACTTAAAGAATCTCCACACGTCTATAGTCACTTACATATTATAGCCCGCAATCCTGATCAAGAGTTATACGATTACATCAAAGAAAAACTACAAGGATTCGTGACGTTTTATGATCCCGATGCTCCTCCAAGCGTTGATGCTATCAAAGAGATTCCAAATGCTTTACAGCTCGTTATTATTGATGATTATTCCAACGATAAGAAGCTTCAGGGAGATTTATTTAGTCATTTCTTTACTCGAGGAAGACATAAAGGACTTTCAACAATTTTCATAGCTCATAGCTATTTCGCTACTGATAAAATGATCCGATTGAATTCTGAATACATAGCAATTCTAAAAGCAAATTCAAAACGCGATCTCCAGCTAATTTTGAAAGATTTTAATCTACCTGGAGTAACCGAAGAAGATATTTACAGATATTACAAACAAGCAACAGCTGAGAAAGGCCAAATGCTGTTCATTGACTCAATCAAGCAACAAATTCGGAAGAACTTTAAAGGTGAAGTTTGTAATTAGTTTCTCTCATGAAATATACTGATGCCAAAAACAAATCAATTTTTATATAATGACGAGTACTATTATCTTAAATCGCAATAACATTGTTTCCAATGGGTTGAATAATACATTTAGATTTAATTTTACCGGATCAAGCGTGAATTTCAAAAACCAAGAAATTGCTCTGTCAAGCCTGCAGATTTACAACTCTCAATTCAACATTAATGGAAGTTTATACAGCAATAACACATTCAGCGTTTTAGTTCCAACCGCAGCAACCTATCAAACGGTTTCCATTACGCTTCCCAATGGATACTATTCGTATGAAGATATATCAAACTATATTGAGTCTCAGTTAGTTAGTATCGGTGCATACTTAATTGATTCTCAAGGTAATAACGTTGTATATATCGCGATGAGAGAAAACGCAACGTACTATTCTTGCGAAATCACTTGCTTGGCAACACCAACTTCTGTTCCAAGTGGATATTCACGTCCATCGACAGGTTTATACTCATTAACTGGAACTGGATTACCAACCGCTACTAATACTACCCGAGTCACTGTTTCAAGTAATGGATTTTCAAATGTGATTGGATTCAGTCCAGCAACGTACCCATCAAGTATTCAAACAACCGATCAAGTACTTTTGAGCAATATCTCCCCACAAGTTAATCCCGTCAGCAGTTATTTAATTCGTTCTAATCTTATTAACAATCGGATTAGCACACCCCCTGATATTCTGACTTCGTTTAGTCCTCAAGGGACATCAATTGGTCAGTTGATCTCAATTCAGCCACCTGAATATCAATGGCTTTTGATTAACGATGGAGCATACAGCAACATTACTCTGAGTATCGTTGATCAAGACTTTAATAATGTAAAATTTGAAGACTCCAATTCATTGATTATGCTATTAATTCGTGATAGGAAACAATAAGTTACCTTTATATAGACTCGAAAATTCGAAAATGTTTCCAAGTTTTAAATCTCTCCGTGATCGAAAAAATAAATTAAGACAACTCGCTGCAGAAAACAGTGATGAGCTTCAATTAGCACGCATTAAGAATGATCGATACAAACTAACACAATGGGCTACGGATCTGGAAAAAACGATAGATACTTCGACGCTTCAACAATTGCTAAGGAAAGTAGCACCTTCCCTCACAACTACCGGAATTCAAGCATCTCCAACAATGACAACAATGGGAATACAAGCAACACCTTCTATGACAGCTACCGGAATTCAAGCCGCTCCATCTATGAGTTCAACGGGCGTACAATCAGCTCCATCTATGACTTCAACAGGTATGCAAACAGTACCGGTAATGACACCAACGGATAGTCAATACGATTTAGCTGATTGGTCTGAAGACCAGTCGGGCTTGTCCGACGGTCAAGGACCTTTCGGACTTCGTCCGGATATTGGAGATGAGGAAGACTCCCTGTCGGATATTGATGACACACAGAGTACATATGACTTTGGGACTAGTTGAAGCAAATGATTTCAACTTTCAAAAAAACGCTCGAGACAAAATAATTGATCAATACACCATTAATCCAAAAGAAAAGTTAATCCAATTCTAAATTCTGGTACTCCAGATAAAAACGTATATATTGGGACGGATGGTAAATTATTTAATGTAAATAACGGAAAGTTAGCAAACAAAGCACTAAATAAATATGATTGGGTTGCAACGTATGATTACATATTGCATCTTATTGACATTGAGACAAAAGAAACTGCTATTGGCTCGTCACATCAGTTTGGATTAGAAGAGCAATGGCTCTCAGCTGCAGCAAGAATGAGGAGGAGAAAGAAGCTGTAGCTTGGCGGCAAAAGCCACCTGTGTGTCTCGTAGTGTATTGAAGAATGAGTTCGTTCTTTCCTTTTCTGCTGTGGTTTTGTCTTACACTAACTGTAAGCACCAACGAGCAGTACTAAACCTCAACAGCCCCACCTACTGATCGTCGGTGCACTTGGCTTCCTCAAACCGCTCTTTTGACATTAGTCCCATTGCGTCTCTGTGTTTCTCAAACACTGTCCTTGAGAGAGGCTTTGTAAAAGCATCAGCCACATTGTCGACTCCAGTAACACGTGACACGACAATTTCCTTCGTGCTGACGCGCTCTCTGATGAAATGGTGACGAACGTCAATGTGTTTCGTACGGCTGTGAAATTCAGGATTGTTTGCCAACTTCTTGGCACTTTCATTCTCGACAAAAATATCCGTAGGTGCCTTTTGTTGCACTTGCAGTTCTTTCAGCATTTGCCGAAGATGTACAACTTCTTGCACAAGTAAACTTAAAGCCATATACTCAGCCTCCGTTGTATGTAGTGCCACAGTTTTCTCAGTTTGACTGCTCCACGAAATTGCACTATCACAAAACTTCGTAAAATACCCTGCAATAGACTTGCGATCGTCCACCCGATTCGCGAAGTCAGCATCAGCAAAAGCTTGTAGGTGTCGATCCAATTTCTGGCCTTGCCATTGAAGCCCACCGAGGCGAATGCCCCAATTCAGCGTCTCCCGAAGATATCTGAGACCTCGCTTGGCTGCTCGCCAGTGTAGTATGCCAGGATTCTCCAGGAACTGACTGCATTCTCGTACTAAATATGCTAAGTCGGGGCGTGACCCCATCATTAAGTACATCAGACTTCCGATTACAGATCGATACGGCTTCGAGCTCATCAGCGCTCTCTCGTCTGCATCAGCAGCACACATACTTCTTGTCAACTTCAAATCTGCTGTACACGGCGTCTTACATCCATTACATTTCTCCATTCCGAACCGTTCCAGCACAGACATAGCATACTTGCACTGACTGATGAAAATCGTCCTTTGACTGCGATTGCGAGTCACTTCCCAACCTAATATGTAGTGCAGCTCTCCAAGATCTTTCATCTCGAATCTCTCGAAGAACATTTGTTTCATCTCATTGATGAGGTTCATATTAGGAGCAAATAGGATTAGATCATCCACGTACAGAGGGATGAACACTAGCTGCCCATCAATAATTTTGACAGCCACACAGGCCTCCGACTTCAACAGTGTAAAGCCCTGCTCTTCCAGAAAGGATTTCAGCAATTGGAACCACACACGTGGCGCTTGCTTTAATCCATACAAGCTTCTGAGCAAACGGCACACCCAGTTCTCCTTACTAGGCACCTTAAATCCCTCTGGTTGCTCCATGAAAACTTCCACATCAATCTTCCCATTCAGAAAAGCTGTCGTGACGTCCATCTGGTGAACTTCATAGTCCCACACAGCTGCAAGCGTCAGCAATACTCGGAGGGTCTCCAGTCGCACCACAGGGGAGTAAACTTCAAGATAGTCAACTCCGTAAACTTGCATGAAGCCCTTGATCACTAATCTTGCTTTGAATCTGTCGATTTCACCATTGGCAAGATACTTGACACGAAACACCCATCGATTCTTCAATACTTTCATATTGTTAGCTCGTGGAACCAGCTCCCACGTACTGTTCTTCATCAACGCATCATACTCGTTTTGTGCAGCACTCTTCCACTGCGCGGAAAACTCATTCTTCATCGCTTCTCCAAATGTCTCGGGCTCTTGTATTGCGCTCGAGGTCAGGCAGCAGTAGTCCTGCCACCATGCAAATGCTTGTGCCTTTGCCATTTCTCGCTGCATGTCTTCTCGAGTCTTTTTCAATGTTAGAGACACACTTTCGAACTCCTCTGAATTCGTGTGTAAATACGCAACGTAGATGCAATCACCATACCATGAAGGTGGTTTGCTCACACGGCCACTCCGCGTTATTGGGTAGTCCTCAGTGCGAACACCTTCTGGCGCTACATACTCTCGCAATGCTCTGCATGAGGAGGTTTTCAAACGCTCCGTGCAAGAGTCACCACTTCGTTGCAGCATCTCCGGGTTCGCGGTCTTCATCTCGCGAGTCTCCAGAGAAGAAGTCGGCTTCTTGGTTGGCATTTCACTACGTGACTCATGTTGCTCTGACTCAGCTACATCGCTAGAGGCATGTTGCCCTGACTCGGCAACTGTCGGCGCCGCGCACCTGCCTCGCTTGCGTCGATTTTTCTTTTTGCTGTGCTTTTCTCCACAAGCAGGTATGTCTGCAGCCACACACTCACCTCGCAGGTGGTTTGCTGCAGCCTGTTGTTGTTCAGTGCCGCGCACTGCCATAGACTCGACTGACTGCTGTTCCTTGATGAGAATTTCCACCTTCTACATCATTGCGTTTTCTCTTTCCAGTAGCCCTTCCTCCAACAGCCCCACCAGTTCTGGCATTTCCTTCATCAACTGCCCCACCTGCCAGGTTCTGGTTGGTATTGTTGATTTCAGGATTGAGCTCGATGTCTTCAGGATCGGACTCGTCCATCTCGTCCAGCATTGTCGGTATGCTCTTCATGGTAGCGTCATCTAAATCCAGATATTGCTGGATTGACACACGAGACATCGTCGTCGGCGTCATCAACGTTGAAGTTTCAACTGCTGGAATTCGGCCTGCTTTATCCTCATAGAACACCGCGGTATGACTGTAGAAAGCCTTTCGCGTCTTGCTGTCCAGCAAGCGATATCCACGCTTTTCACGATTGTATCCAACAAAAAATTGCTTCACGCGCTTTGGCATCCATCTTTCGCCTCTCTACTTTGTCCACATAAGCCAACACTGCACACCCAAACGTACGCAGTTGCAAATATGATGGCACTTCTCGATACCATATCGAATACGGCACCTCCATATCCCTCGTTGAGTTAGGCATAATATTCACACAGTAAGCTGCAGTCACTGCTGCCTCCGCCCACAACTCTTGAGGTAATGCGAAGTGATTTAACAGACATCTCATTCGCTCCGTTACGGTCCTCACCATTCGCTCTGCTACGCCATTCTGCTCCGGCGTATGCTTGATGGAAGGAGAGCAGGTCATGCCATGCTTCTTCTTGCAGATATCACTCAGCTTCCCGTATTCACGAGCATTATCCATTCGAATGTCCTTCATGCGAACGTTAAGTTGGGTCTTGACTTGTTCATAGTAGATCTCAAACTTTTCGTAAATTTCAGATCTCTCTGCTAGAAGAAACAACGTCACAAAGCGACTTGTTTCATCGATGAACAGTACAAAATATCGTTTACCAGAGTATGATTCCACTGCATATGGACCCCAGATATCTGAGTGAGTACGTTCACCAACTAGCCACTCACGCGATGGCGCGCTTGCACGAGAACGAAAACTTTTTCTAGTCATCTTTCCTTTCATGCACGACTCGCATTGAAAATCATCCGGCTCGCGCAGATCGAGTTTCTTCATCGGCCAACGTGCGTGCCGAAATAGTGCATTGAAAGCATTGCGTCCTGGATGCCCAAAGCGATCGTGCCACAACTCTACATGGTGAGTTTTTCCCACTGCCACCATAGCGGTTTCTGCTGATTTCTCAAATGGAAATCGAAAGAGATTGGTTTTATCTCTGTGCGCCTTTATTCTGCTCGAATGCAACAGTACATCTGCGTAGTCCTCTTCATCAAAGTGACATCGGACTCGCTCTGTAGGTGCTAGCAAACGCGAAGCTTGTTTTCCCACTGCGAATAAACTGCACTGCAACTCTGGAACGTATTTTACTCCATGACGCAGCAAAGAATATCTTCCAGTCGGAGTGACAATATTCTTCTTCACATCACCTATGCCAACAACTTCAAGCCAATTCTTTCCGCCAGTTCGCACCATTGACCTCAACGGTGTAAATGACACGAAGTCAATATTCTGATTGGTCATATGGCTCGTGGCTCCAGAGTCCAAATACCATCGATCATGAGCAAGATCAGCCACATTCTTCTCCAATTTCATCAAAGTCATAATGACGTAAGCGTTCTCATCACTTTCATTATCATTGCGACTCTTACTGCCGGTCTTGGTACTCGATTTATTGCGCTTGTGCGCAGATCCATCATCTTGACTGTCTGTCGGAGGACGCTTGCCAAGATATGGACAATCACGCATGAAATGGTCTCCGTGGCAATGAAAACAACCGTTACCTCGCTTATGCTCACCACTGGCATGTCCTTGGCCAGCTCCACGGCTGCTTCCTCGACTTCTTTCACCACGGCCGCCAAATTCGTGGCCATGAGTACTACGGCCACCCCGTCCGCGTCCTCGGCCGCGTCCAGCTCCTCGTCCACGACCACGACCTCCTCCAGCAAGAAGAGCTTTGTCATCTTCATTTCCCTTGCTTCCTTGCTTCTTCCGCACTTGGTCATGATCATAAGCTGCCTCCAGGGCTTGTTCAAGCTGCTCGTAGTTTGGTGGGTCGTCCGGCTTTTGCGATGTGTGGCTCGCCAAGAACGTTTGGACAACATTGTCGTATTCTCGCGGTAGTGAGCCAATCAGAATAGCCGGTTTATCGTATTCATCTACAGGCTTGCCAACCACCGAGATGGTCTCCATAATCCGCCGCATTTCGCTCAGGTGATCGGGCAATTTTTTTTTTGGATTAAAGACGGAGGCGGCTCAATTTCACTTTTTCTTCAGCGAATTTCAGGTAGGTCTTCCCCATGAATCGCCGCTTCAGACGCTCCATTACACGATACGGAGTCCGCTCGTACTTGACTGTCTTCATTATTTGATTTGTCATCGATTCGTACAGAATCTCCTTAGTCCGAGCCGTCTTAGTAATCCAGTCCTCATGATCACTCTGTTTGCTCTCCTCAGGCTCAGTAACATCCGAGATGCAATACTGCCACAGATGCTTGCGTTGTAGCTTGAGTTTGACCCGTTCAAGCCACATCTCGAAGTC